TGACGTAGTCCTCAGTACACTAGGTAATAGTGACGTAGTCCTCAGTACACCAAATATATACAGACGTAGTTATTAGTACACTAGGTATATACTGACGTAGTCCTCAGTACACTAGGTATATGCTGACGTACAGTCCTCGGTACACTAGGTAATAGTGACGTAGTCCTCAGTACACAAGGTAATAGTGACGTCGTACTCAGTACACTAAGGAATAGCGACGTAGTCCTCATTACACTAGGTATATACTGACGGAGTCCTCAGTACACTAGGTAATAGTGACGTCGTACTCAGTACACTAGGTATATACTGACATAGTCCTCAGTACACTATGTATATACTAACGTAGTTATCAGTACACTAGGTAATAGTGACGTAGTCCTCAGTACACTAGGTAATAGTGACGTAGTCCTCGGTACACTAGGTATATACTGACGTAGTTCTCAGTACACTATGTATATACTGACGTAGTTCTCAGTACACTAGATATATACTGACGTAGTTCTCAGTACACTAGGTATATACTGACGTAGTCCTCAGTACACTAGGTATATACTGACGTAGTCCTCAGTACACTAGGTATATACTGACGTAGTTCTCAGTACACTTAGTATATACTGACTTAGTCCTCAGTACACTAGGTATATACTGACTTAATTCTCATTACACTAGGTATATACTGACGTAGTTCTCAGTACACTTAGTATATACTGACTTAGTCCTGAGTACACTAGGTATATACTGACTTAATTCTCATTACACTAGGTATATACTGACGTAGTTCTCAGTGCCCTTATTATATACTGACGTAGTCATCAGTACATTAGATATATACTGACGTAGTTCTCAGTATACTAGGTATATACTGAGTTAGGTCTCAGTACACTATGTATATGCTGACGTAGTCCGCAGTACACTAGGTATATACTGACGGAGTCCTCAGTACACTGGGTAATACTGACGTAGTCCTCAGTACACTAGGTATATACTGACATAGTCCTCCACTAGGTTTATACTGACGGAGTCCTCAGTACACTAGGTAATAGTGACGTAGCCCTCGGTACACAAGGTAAATGCTGACGTAGTTCTCAGTACACTATGTATATACTGACGTAGTTCTCAGTACACTAGGTATATACTGACTTAATTCTCAGTACACTAGGGAGATACTGACGTAGTTCTCAGTGCACTTATTATATCCTGACGTAGTCATCAGTACACTAGATATATACTGACGTAGTTCTCAGTATACTAGGTAATAGTGACGTAGTCCTCAGTACACTAGATATATACTGACGTAGTTCTCAGTACACTAGGTATATACTGACTTAATTCTCAGTACACTAGGTATATACTGACGTAGTTCTCAGTGCACTTATTATATACTGACGTAGTCATCAGTACACTAGATATATACTGACGTAGTTCTCAGTATACTAGGTATATACTGATTTAGTTCTCAGTACACTATGTATATGCTGACGTAGTCCTCAGTACACTAGGTATATACTGACGGAGTCCTCAGTACACTAGGTAATAGTGACGTAGTCCTCAGTACACCAAATATATACAGACGTAGTTATTAGTACACTAGGTTATAGTGACGTAGTCCTCAGTACACTAGGTAATAGTGACGTCGTACTCAGTACACCAAATATATACAGACGTAGTTATTAGTACACTAGGTATATACTGTCGGAGTCCTCAGTACACTAGGTATATATACTGACGTAGTTCTCAATATACTAGGTAATAGTGACGTAGTCCTCAGTACACTAGGTATATGCTGACGTACAGTCCTCGGGACACTAGGTTGTAGTGACGTAGTCCTCAGTACACTAGGTAATAGTCACGTGGTACTCAGTACACTAGGGAATAACGACGTAGTCCTCAGTACACTAGGTATATGCTGACCTACAGTCCTCGGTACACTAGGTTATAGTGACATAGTCCTCAGTACACTAGGTAATAGTGACGTCGTACTCAGTACACCAAATATATACAGACGTAGTTATTAGTACACTAGGTTATAGTGACGTAGTCCTCAGTACACTAGGTAATAGTGACGTGGTACTCAGTACACTAGGGAATAGCGACGTAGTCCTCAGTACACTAGGTATATACTGACGTAGTCCTCAATACACTAGGTAATAGTGACGTAGTCCTCAGTACACCAAATATATACAGACGTAGTTATTAGTACACTAGGTATATACTGACATAGTCCTCACTACACTATGTATATACTGACGTAGTCCTCAGTACACTAGGTATATACTGACGTAGTTCTCAGTACACTTAGTATATACTGACGTAGTCATCAGTACACTAGGTATATACTCACGTAGTTCTCAGTATACTAGGTATATACTGATTTAGTTCTCGGTACACTAGGTATATGCTGACGTAGTCCTCAGTACACTAGGTATATCCTGACGTAGTCCTCAGTACACTATGTATATACTGACGTAGTCCTAAGTACACTAGGTATATACTGACGTAGTCATCAGTACACTAGGTATATACTATACTGACGTAGTTCTCAGTACACTTAGTATATACTGCCGTAGTCATCAGTACACTAGGTATATACTGACGTAGTCCTCAGTACACTAGGTAATAGTGACGTCGTACTCAGTCCACAAGGGAATAGCGACGTAGTCCTCAGTACACTAGGTATATACTGACGTAGTTATTAGTACACTATGTATATACTGACGTAGTCCTCAGTACACTAGGTATATACTGACGTAGTCCTCAGTACACTAGGTATATACTGACATAGTCCTCAGTACACTATGTATATACTGACGTAGTTATCAGTACACTAGGTAATAGTGACGTAGTCCTCAGTACACTAGGTAATAGTGACGTAGTTATCAGTACACTAGGTATATACTGATTTAGTCCTCAATACACTAGGTATAAAATGACGTACTCCTCATTAGACTAAGTATGTATTGACATGATATAGTTCCTTTGCTGAAATAGAAGAGCATCTTTAAATGCTAGAAATGATGTTTCTTTGGAAATGGAAAGTGTTAACAAACTAAGAAAACAGAAACATTATTCAATGACATACAAAATGTTAGCAACTGTTTCATATTTATTGTGTATATGAATATTTTGTTTGTTGCGATTCAATTAACTTCACAAACCTACCTTTTTTCGTTGCTTGCTTGAATTTCATTCTGCGATCGTAAAAGTTGTCAGGTATAATCCGTCACTGAAATATATATTTATATATATCCAAGTTGAAATTCAAATTTTGATTTATCTTTATGATTTACAGCTAATGTCCACACACTGAATTGTTCTGTACCGTGTGATCAATACCATTAATTATGTACTCCGTACTGTATTTGGCAAGTACACACGAAACACGTCGAGCCAAACGCGGTCAAACAACGCGATAGCATCGGTCATTGTTGTACTGTCTTTAAATACCGGGTCACATCGTTTAGCAATATATTGTCTGTAAATATACGATAACAATCACCCAAATTAATCTATAGCCATATTCATTTGTATAGGTCTAGAAGAAATGTTAAAAAAATATTTAAGTAAAGGATAAGACAGCTATACAGGAGTAACCGAGCTGTGTTTGACAATTCCGGCCAAATTTGACAATGAACACATGTTCAGTAGGGTGTAGAATAAAGTGTACACCTCCTGCACTAGTATTGCACAAATCAAAATCTTGTAGTCTACCTTTGTATTGTTTCAGCCTTAGTTAAAGGTACCGTACCGCTAACGTTTTTTTTTTTTATCTAAACAAAAAGATAAATCTGACATTTCTTAACGTTCTTATACGTATATACTAGCGGAAAAAAGAAACTGTGCATGCGGAGAATTGTTATAGAACATGTATTACCAACTGTATATACATGAAAATCCACACGCATGACCGAGTATGACACATACACACTATCCGTGTGTCATTGACAGTTTTTCCCCTGCAGTTTGCTCTCTATAGGCTTTGACCAGGTTGCACGTTTTTCTCGTCCAGCCATCCAATTCGACAACGAAAGTTTATTTTTCAACTGTTGGGTCAATCTGTTGAGACCAGTGAACAGTAAAAACAGCATTATAACGTTTTAATTTGTGCTATGCTATGCCGAGGCTCAATGAAAATGACCGCCTCCGGATTATTGGTATGCTTCAAGCTGGTATGGGCCAATCCGTTGTCTCTACACGTTTTCATGTCCATCGAAACACAATCCGGAATTTGTGAAGACGACATCAACGGTTTGGCCACGTCGGCGATCGACCTCGTGCGGGACGTCCACGTGTGACGTCACGTGAACAGGACAACCATATTCGGCTTGTCCATTTGAGAAATCGCTTCCACGGACAATCCCTGGGTTGCTACCAATAAGCCCGGGAACTGTACGGAACCGATTGCGTGAACGAGCTATCCGTCCGCGACGTCCTGCAATCCGCCCAGTTCTTCTGCCACGTCATCGTGTAGCACGTCTGGACTGGTGCAGAAGGCATCTGCGATTGACTCGACGGGATTGGACACGCATTTTGTTTACGAACGAGTCGCGAGTTCACCTGGATAGTAGTGACGGCCGTTCCAGAGTGTATCGTCGCGTTGGAGAACGTTTCCGTGACTCGTGTGTGATACAACAACGTTCTTTCGGCGGAGGCAGCGTTATGATTTCGGGCGGCATCACAGCCAACGGGAGAACTGGTGGTTGTTAACGGGAATTTGAACGCGCTGCGTTACCGTGACGAGATCCTCCGGACCCACGTCGTTCCATTCGTGCAAGGGCAGCAACGTCACATTACGCTACAGCAGGACAACGCCAGGCCACACACAGCTCGTGTCGCTATGGACTGTCTGGCCCAGCAGAACGTTGACGTGTTGCCCTGGCCTGCTGTATCCCCGATCTGTCGCCCATTGAACACGTCTGGGATGAAATGAAGTGCAGATTACGGCCATTGCCTAATCAACCGGTGACGTTGGCTGACTTGGCTGCAGCGTTGGTACAGATCTGGAATGCCATCCCCCAAGCATTATTGAACCGTCTGATAGGCTCCATGCGTCGACGTTGCCAGGCTTGCATTCAGGCAAGAGGTATTAACTTTGTGAACTCAGTATTAACCCCTGCTGTGTTTACGTCACTTCTGAGCGGAACTTATTGATTCCATAACGTGGAAAATGGAATGCAACTGTTAATAAATAACAAATAAATTGTCCCTGAAAACCTTGTTGTTCTACGTCATACACATTTTTTTTTATTACACATTTTAGGCATGCACAGTTACTTTTTTCCGCTAGTATAGCAACATTTATCAACTTTCCGATACTATCAAACTCGGCAAGTGAAACGTGTCAAATATATATATAAAAAAAAGTTTTATTTTCTTACGTGTCGTAAGGAAACGTGAACGGCCAGGCCGGTAGAAGCTGAAAGCAGATCGACTGCGCAGAAAAGCGAAAGAATACATCGATGAAGTCTTATATTTAGAACAAAGGGATTAGAATGCGCTAAGGGATGAAAAAGGGTTTGACTACCACTATCAATTGCGAAGTGTTTAATGGACAGATGAGAACTGAATCGGCTAGTATTCTGTAAACATGACCTCTGACACAGTCGAAGATCTAGTCACTTCGTTTGATCCTGCTCTCGAGACATCGCATGAATTCACGTATGTATAATATTGACGGAAACACGGCCTCAAACCTCTTTCTGGTGAGAGAATTATCCGTCAGTAAAAGTTTCGCACGCTTATACTTAAAACATATATAAGTCATAGAAATATTCCAGGATGTTTTCACCTAATATACAGTCTTTCAGACATATTGAACCACGGTAGCTTTAATAGTCAATTGTACAACTGCTTTGCAATTTTACAGGTATGGCCTGATAAAAATAATAGGAATTTATTGAATTCAAATTTACTCTCTATACAATAGCTAACTCTTTTTTTGGTAATGTATTCACACAGCATATTTCTGTGTGAATGTCAAGAGGTGAATAGCAAAAAATGAAAAATTATACTTGATTATTATCATGTAAATCTAAGCACCAACATTTTGAAAATGGAAAGTAAATGTCTGTACTGAAATCAACGTAATATGTCATTCTATGAGAGTTTCTGGTCAAGTTTCACCACCTGCTACGATTTATTAACGAAATTAAAGGGTTGCATTAGCTGCTATTTCTGGCAGGTGACTATTTATGACAAAACGACAGTTCGACAACACGGCAAAACTAACTCGTCATCACGACAACTCCGAACAATAAATTCGCTCTCACGACAACACGACAAAACAAAATTGATAACACGACATAAACAAGTCAAGATCACGACATAGAACATTTGTCTTATGTTTGATTTTGTCGTCATGTCGTGTTGTCGCATTTTCGTGACTTGTCGGCAATACAGTAGGTGCTATTACAAATCAAAATGGCCGCAATCGGTCACCACATCATTACGTACAATTAAAACATTATTGTTTATAATTTGAAAACAGGTTATATAGTATGCCTGTTTTATTGTTACTTCGTTCGTCATAACACTGGAATATATTTACAACTTATCGGAGTGGATGCAAGTATTTACAAAATTGTTCCGCTTAATGTGGTTTATAATAATAAGATAGTAATCCCCTACGGAGCCCCTTTGGGGACATGCTGATATTATTTTTTATCTGGTTTGCACGACCTAATATCTCGTGGGTACGTTGTGCCCACGAGATATTAGGTCGTGGGTCTCTTGTTTCACACTTTGTACGTATCATTTGACGTTAGATAAATTCTGAAATGTTTTGAATGGTTACTCTTGCGTTGTTTTAATAAACAAGGGTGGAATAATTTTGTACACCCTTTCCATAAACTTGGATGAGTTTTAAGTTTCAAAACCGAAAAAATGTAAAGTGATTCCTCGTGAATATTTTATATGAAATGGCCGTTTTCAAATACTGAAATTGTTGGTCGACATCTGGTGGTAGACTATCGGTACCTTATATTTGGTCATGAATGTGGTGGTAACTAACGAAAAGTTCAAATATTGTTTTTATTTATTTTACGATAATTTTAAAACAAAGTTTTCCCAACTTGTATCAATCACTCTTGTTGGCCTTGATGGAAGCGCGAAGATGGTGTGAATGTACATGGGAAGAAATAGGAATACCGTAGGAAGCCCTCCACAAAATCTATATTGCCATAAACATTAAAAAAATCGAAATCGTAAGAGATTTACCTGAATTTTATTTTCCGCAAGAAATTGAAAGAGCCAAACTTCCCTTTGCTAGCCAATAGGTTTATCTCCGAGGTTTAGACTGGAGAGGAGGGAATTATACTCACAAGAAAATGTGAGGTTTGATAAGATTAAGATACATCGCATGTCGCTGGTTGAGTTGTTTCCATTCATTACTGTTGAATGGTTCACTGTGAACAGATATTCATTCTACCGATTCGACCGTTTTGTACCGACTAATCTGGTATTCACATTCGGTGACACGCGCCATTACGATTTAAATGTCTTCAAAAGACCTATTCATATCTTTATCTGAAGCATTCAAATAAAGGGTCGACGTTGTATTGTTTAGATATATGTGTATATATGTATACTTACGGCGTAATCATTGGGTATTTGATATTCTTTCAACACGTGTAAAATCTAGATTTTATGGTGACCGCTTAGGGCCACATAGCTAATGTCGTAATCCTGCACCCTCGACCTCAGGTCGATAACACGACAACGCGACGGTCGAGGGAGCGAGATCACGAGATTGACCATATGACCCTAACTGGTCACCAGATACGTTAGTATTACAGTGACACGTTCCAAACCATCTATAAGATACCAGAACGCTATAGAACTGGCACTTGCCCTCCCATTGCCTACCACTTTATTCGAATACGTTCCTCTCTCACTATTTAGTTTATTTTTAAAATGATAACCTTATGTACATCTTATTTATGTTACCAATAAACGTGTAATGGTGTGATTTAGGGATTATAAGTTACTATCACATCCTGTTGTTTTAAGGCGGTCGGTGTTTTTTCTCCGTCACCAAAACTTGGCATGTCCTTAGATGACTGTAGTTGTTAATCGGACGTATAACATCCCAAACAAAACCAAAGCAAATCAATCTGTTCATAATACTAACGTTAAACAGTCTCTAAATAAATCTACCAACTCGCCGTGAATATTCATATGAAAGCAATACAAAACGAACTATTACAAGTGAAAAAATGGGGCTCTGTTGAGAGAGAGGTTGATTTTTGGTATTAAGGGATTTGTCAATCGGGAACCGTCGGCACTCGGAAATTGTCTGGTTTACGGAAAGTGCCGACATATTCCGACTTGTGTATGTCTATATAAATACTGTATCATAGGTACCG